AATATGATTGAAGTCTGAATTTGCAAAGACTGAAAACATAAAATATAGTTGTTAAAAAGGGAGGGGAAAGAAATTTTGTCTTTTAGAAGTTGTAGGACCTAATTGACTCTAAAACTGATGAGTCTTTCTAACTATTTCCTTTTATTCCCCTTCCACTAGAATCATAGAATGCTAAAATCAGAGAGATCTTGGACATCTAGTCCAAGTTTTCTTTCTTTCATAATAAGGAAACTGAGGCATGAAGAAGCTGACTTGCTGAAGGTCACATAAATAGTTAGTGGCAGAGCCCTAGCTTCTGGCTTCCAGCCTAGTGGTCTTTCTACTTCTTCTGCTTTGTTACTCTCTTCTCTAATCAAGACTTGGAATGATACTTGGTTGGGGAATGTAGTACTTATAAGCCACCATTTACTGTAGGGTTAAGAGCTGCAAGGGACCCTAGAGACAATTTACAACAGCCCTCTCATTTTATAGAAGAGCTTATTGAGGCCTAGGTAACTGCAGAGACTTGCTCAAAATCACCCAGATATTGTCAGAGCTAGGATTTAAAACCATAGACAAGGGAGAATCAGAGGAATAGAGTTGGAGAGAAAAGGGCCAAAACTCTTAAATGGTTATCTGAGTCCCCAGAGTCATAGGAATATTGTGAAAGCTGGCCCTGTAACATGTCCCTTGATTCCCAGTGCCTGTGCCCCAGGGATGGTTAAGAGTGGATTTCTTCAGTGAGATTACTCTCTCTTTGGTTGAGCTGAGATTTTATTTTACTCCTGAATCAAAGAGCCCACTTGTCCACGGTCTACACTAATCTGTAGTTTACTACAGATTTCTATTTTACTACTTGCATTGATAAGGATGTTTGCTCACTAATCATGATTGTCTTTTGTGTCCAGTGGGAGGGAACCTAGCTGGCAAGGAGTAAGCCAACTGTTACCCTTTCAATCGAGGATAGGACTGCTTGGGACCAAAGAAAGTGCATTTATTCTAAGCCCTGAAGCAGAGCAGATAGACATAATTCTAGCTCAATACTCCCACTGGAGACAAAAGAGCTTAGTGATGGCCTGTATAGCAGCTTGTTCATAAGGGGTCTGGAGTTCATTCATTCAGCCAATCAGTGTTATATAGTCAGTCAAGAATTCCCAGCCCTTTCAGATAATGAACACTTCCAAACCTACCTTGGAATAGGGTGGACAGGGAATTGATCCTAAAGGGCCAAGCTTGCCTGATTTGCATCTAAATCCACCTGAACAGAGATATAGTTCTCTTATCCTGCCTGTACAGGCATCAAAATGGCCTTGTAAAAGGGGGTCCTTGGTTAATTCCCCTGATTTATGAAAGTCAGCCTCAATCAATAAATCAGTATCTACTCCCAACTGCCCACAAAGGAACAATAAAACTTCTAAAGCTTCCTCTCTCTGGCAATATTTTGCCTGAAAATGCTTTATTTCCTGTCCTGAATAATCTTTAGTACCTTCAATTTACTGTCCCATATCAATATAGCCTCAAGGTACTGTTTGAATGAATCCTCCAGGTCCCAATCTTGGAAGGGGGCCAAGGCTTGAACTGAGATGAATGGAAGGAGCCAGCATCGAAGGCATTCTTTTTCCAAACCTTCTCCTTTTCCTGAATGTCATCTGTTCAAACTTCTTGGATCAACAAGATTAGGTTAAGGTCAGGACCAGAGGGCTAGCATTTATAATTAATTTATAATTTATATAAACAATTTATAATTAATAAATCGGCATTTATTAAATTCCTACACTGTCCTAGGTCATACTTTGCCCCTCCTTTGAACTCAGCAACGATTCTCTGTACCGCTCATTCGGTACTTACCATATCTTTACTTTTATCATTCGTTATAGTTATATAGGTGTCTTGTTTTGCACAACTAGATTGTAAGCTCCTTGATCATAACATTTTTCTTTGCATCCCTCACAGAATTTAGTTTGGCACTCAATAATTATTTATTGATTTTTTTTTAACCAGGGGCCAAACATAAGCCCAAAGGATGAAGGTCTGAGGCTAGAATGTTAGGCATTAAGCAGGGAGTGGGAGAAGATTTGGAGGGACGTTGGATCTTACTTGTACCATTCTTTTCTCTGGCTCAATGGTTGGAGTGCTGGGCCTGGCGTCAGAAAGACCAGAGTTCAAATTTGACCTCTGACACTTACTAGCTGTGTGACCCAAGGCAAGTCACTTAACCCCTGCCTGCATAAAACTGGAGAAGGAAATGGCAAACCATTCTAGTATCGTTGCCAAGAAAACCTCATGGTCAGTTGGTCCATGGGATCATAAAGAAGTCAGTTACAAATGAATAGCAAAAACTCTCTAGAAAGGGCTAAGAAGCTTTCCATTTTTATTCTCATAATTGTGAGAGACAATCCTAAACCAATACCTACTTAGAAATACAGTTAGATCCTGATCAACAAATCCTGTGAAATAATTACAGGCATTTGAATCCTCACTATTAGAGGTTACAATTATGTAAAATATGATCACTGGTTCCAGCCCAATGGAAGTATGCAGTGTGGATCTGAATAATTCAACCACTTCTCACGATTCATTATTTGAACTAATGGGGTCCTCACCATAAATGAGAAGAGCAAAGGCTCCATCCTAGAAGCTTGGAGAGCTTGTCTGGAATCCAACCTGCTTCTCAATGCCTGAGTCTGTTGGACCACATCTCTAAGAGATGGTCATCCACGCACTGCTTAAACACTGACAGCCCTGGAGAATTCACTGTTTTGTTAAACAATCTGTTTCATTTTTTGATCGTTTTAATTATTCAGATGATTCTTAACATTGAGCCAAAACTACCTTCCTGTAAATTCCAACTTTTAATTGATCCTAGTTCTTTACTGGGGAATTACACATTATACACTTAACCCTACTTCTGCACTCATGCCCTGTGAATTCTTGAAGACAGTTATCAGGCCTAAAGTGTATTTCCTCAGTATCATTATCCCTCAGGTTTTTCAACCATTTTGCACATGGCAGTTCCTTTTTTTTTTTTTGGCCAAGCAATAGGGTTAAGTGACCTGCCCAGGGTCACACAGCTAGTGTTATGTGTCTGAGATCCCATTTGAACTCAGGTCCTCCTGACTGAAGGCCTGGTGCTTTACCCACTGTGCCACCTAGCTGCCTCTTATATGGCACTTTCTAAACTCAGGATCCTCAGCTCTTCTCCTCTGCACCATCTCCAGTTTGCCAGTGTCTCTTTTAAAGCATGGCGACCAGAATTGTTTACAATTCTTCAGAGATGTCACTTCTCATCTGGACACCAATTTTCATCAGTGTAGTTGAAGATTGCACTAAGTTTTTTGTTGTCATTGTTGTTTTCGATTTTTGCCAAGTCACATTCCTGGTTCCTACTGAGTTTATGGCCAACTGAAACTCCCCGCCCTTTCTCATACGAGATGCTATCTCTGTCTGCCCTGCCTCTCTCACCTACAGACCACCTGGCCTTTGCTACCTGCCCTGCTGCTGACCCTTTATATATAATCTCTGAGAGCATGGGCCACTTTGTTTTTATACATACACAATGCTTATATAATAAGAGCTTAGTAAATACTTTTTAAGTTGTTTATTCATTCATTCATTTTTCCTGTATTTGTGCAATTGATTTGGGGGGGGGGATCTAAGTACAAGACTTGTTATGTTGCTTGAATTTCACTTTGCTAACTTTTGTCCATCATTCCAGTTTTTTTCTAAATTAGTTGGAATCTCAGCTTTGGCATCCAGTACATTCTCTTCCTGTTTCAGGCCATCTAGAAATGTAATAACTATGCATTCTACCTCTCCATTTAAATTATCAATAGAAACACTAAATAGAACAAGACAGAAGACAAAGGAGTATGGCACTCCTCAAGACCTCCAATTGAAAATATATTAAAATAATAGGAGAGGGAGGAATTTAAGAAAGAGAGAAAGATTTTTAAGGTATATAAATTCTGTATTTACAAACATTGTTGAGCTTTTTTTTAAAGATCTTGTAAATTTGGATTGCCATCTAATTTTTCTTTTTCCCAAGGATTTGTAGTTTTGTTCTTTGTTTGCTTTTCTTTCTAGCTCCGTAACTCAGTACAGTGCTTTGTTCACATAGAAATCATGAGAGATTGTGTCACATGTTTTGCAGAAATATGAATACACTATATTAAAGTCTTTAACTATTCTACAAATACAATAAAACTAGCCAGAAAAATGAATTTAGGTTGGGTTTTTTTTTAAAGAATTCTCCTTTCTAGGTTAGAGTAATTGTTTTCATTTCCAGGGTGTCTTTCATGCATAGCATAACTTTTCCTTTTCTTAATATCCTGCACTGCTCTTTATAATATTCTGAATAATACATTTCTCTTCTTATCCTTTATTATGGATAAAGACTAGGTACTAGACTATTCAGTGTTATAGGGAACTCTCAGGTGAGGAAACTCCTTGACCAATGCAGGTACAAACCTTGTGGGTAACTAGGTAGTTAGGAAGACTTATCTTCCTAAGTTCAAATCTGGCCACAGACACTTACTAGCTGTGTGACTCTGGGCAAGTCACTTAACCCTGTTTGCCTCAGTTTCCTCATATATGAAAAGTGCTGAAGAAGGAGATTGCAAATCATCCCAATATCTTGCCAAGAAAATCCCAAATGGGGTCACGGTGATGACTGAAAATGACTGAAGAACAATGTGTGCCTCAGTTTCCTCAGCTGTAAAATGAAAAAGTTGAAATCGATGACCTCCAAGATCCCTTTCAGTTTTAAATCGATGATCTTCTGCCCCTACGATGAAGTCTCTTCCAACTCAGAAATCAAATGTAAGAATTATGCTGCAGGCCTCTCTCCCGGGCCTGGCACCAGCAGTATATGTTGAAGAGGACCATATCTTACAAGTAAATTGCATTTAACTGAGGCAGGGCTGTTCAAAGCCTCACTCTCCCCCGGAGCCATCTGGTTCCAGTGGCAAGATAGAGCTCAAGACTACTGGAGATGGCTACCCAAGAAAGAACCCCGGGCTGAGCCCCGCCCACTCCCGGGCCGCGTTCGGTCTCCCTGGTAACGCCCGGAGCCGAGGACAACAGTGCAGAGAGAGGCAGAGGCCGGGACCAACGCTGGGCTGCCAGGTGAGCGTCCTTCAGACCAATTGCAGGTAGAGTTGGGCAGCGGCTGTGGAGGATGCCGGTCACAGTGCAAAGGCGGACCTGAATGCGGTCCTTGCCTGGGGTGCGGGGTCCTGGGGCTGAGCGGTCCGGCCTGCCTGGCATCTGTTTCCCCGCGGGGACTAGCCCAGTGCCTTGAGGTCATGGACCTGAGGGGCAGCAGGAACATAGTTTATCTGGAGGGGGTGAGCTGGCGAGTGAGCCCCACGTAGCAAACTCAGAGAAGAAAATTCATAGCATCTGGAGCTGAAAGGCACCTCAATGGCTATCTAGGCCAAACACCTCATATTACAGATGAGGATGCAGAAGTGAAGTGACTTTGCCAAAGTCACCCAGGTAGTAAGATTCAGAACTTAAGCAAGACAAATGAAGTAGCACAGTGTTACAAAGATGGGGGGAAGGGAGGGAGGGAAAGGGAAGAGAGGGGAGAGGATGAGAGGGGAGAGGAAGGCAGAGAAGGGGAGAAGATGAAAGGGAACCCAAGAGGACAGGATGGGAGGGCAGAAGAGTGGAAAGGATGGGAGAGGAGAGAAGAGGAGAGTAGGGATGGAAAGGGAGGGAAGAGGAGAGGAAGGGAGGGCAGGGGAAAGGAAGAGGACTAACCTCAAGAAACTTGAATTCTAGTTCCAGAGTCTATAATTCTCTGTGCCATTACAATTCTGATGTCCTGGGACTCAAGCTTGGGCTGTGAGTGAAGACAACTTGTAGTTACCTGTCCTAGTCAAGTGTCTGAAGGAAGTCAGTGGATATTTCACTCCTGAGTAGTATTAAACAGATTGGCAATGCTTTATTCATTTTATAGGGATGACAGAGGATATAGGATTTAGAGCAGAAAAACCAACCTGCTCATTTTACAGATAAGGAAACTGATTTAGAGAGCTTAAGCAACACAAAGCCAGCCATGAACAACAAAGCAGGGAAGTCGAAGGTTTCCAGATCCAGCACTATTTCCTTTTTGTGCCATTTCTGCCTATGAGTTGGCAGTTGTGATGCACCTAACCCTGATAAATATAAAATCAGGAAAACACTTAAGGAAAACAATGTTAACCTCATAATTCTTGAGAATTATGTAATCTATGAGGCATCATCTTTGACTGAAAATCTCTGGTCCCTCATGGCAGAAGGGTGGCAAAAGCTGTGCCAGTGAAAGGCACAGTCTTACAGTTCCTGCCAAGCCTAAGGGTCTTCAAATGTGAATCTGGTGATGAACTGTCTGTTCTTAGAGATCCACTCTCTAACATTCGTAGAAGATCATTACCAAGTTAGATACAGGGTGATGAAATTATAAAAAAAAAATGACCAGACCAACTCTTGAAAATTTTGTACTAAGAGAGGTTTTGAGCTGTATCATGGAGGTATTATTAACAGTGCTAAATCACAGATCCTTGATATATTCCCCTGATGCAAGTCATTATACCATATTATATAGGTGAAGAAGTAATAATGACCTTAAGGTACAGAATGAAACATATTGTTTTGGATATGGCCAATGTGGGAATTTATTTTGCTTGTCTATATTTGTTACAAAGGTTTTGTCTTTGCTCCCCCCTCCATGGGGGGAGGTGGGAGAGAGAGAGAGAGAGAGAGAGAGAGAGAGAAGAGAGAGAGAGAGAGAGAGAGAGAGAGAGAGAGAGAGAGAGAGAGAGAGAGAGAGAGAGAGAATAGTGCTTATTAATTTAAATTTTTTTTTCCAAAAAGAGGTTATGAACAGCTGGCCACAGACTATGGTCTATGCCCTGAAGATGTAGCTAAGTTTAAAAAGACTCATGACCATAAGGTTGGTCATCAGGTGATGATTTTGGGGGGGGGGGAGTCAAAGCAACTTATGAAAAGCAACTAAGAAAACTTGGGATCTCTATTGGTAGGGAGAGTATAGAGTTGACAGATGCCATGGGACTACACTTTACCACTCTTCCTTAACATTAGTAATGTGAACAATTCTATTTATTAGACTGATGTCAATATTTTGTAATTAAATGGTGCTAAGAGAAAAAGCACTGGGTCTGAACTAATCACAGGACTTGGTTCAAATCCCACCTCTGATGTTTACTACTTGTGTGACTTTGGGCAAGTCACTTATTCTCCCAGTGCCTCAGCTTCCTCATCTGTAAAATGAAGGGAGTGAAATAAATGGTCCCTAAAGTACCCTCCAGCTCTATATCTGTGATCCTAAGAGCAGCTGGAGCAGGTTGAACATATATAAAGAAATGCCATGTTGGTGGCAACACAATATTAAGGGGCTTATTCTGTAGATATTGGAAAGGTAGGTATTAGTGGCCTTTATTAACCCCTCCCCACTCCCCACCATGGAATTCATCTAACTTGTGAATGAGTATATAGGGATTTTACCCCCAGGAATAATAATTTCCATGGAGCATTTTGTTCTTATGCTTCACATTTTGACCAGTAGTCTAGATGCTAACTTACATGCTGACTTTATGAATACGCTAAACATGAGAATTTAGAAGAATTTGAAGGAATGGGTAAGTTAGAATTGTCAAAGTTGTCCTAAAAGTTCCATCTATTCATTTCTCCAAATTCCTCATTAATATGAAATAATTTAACATATATAAAATGCTTTGCAAATTTTAAAGTGCTATGTGGTTGTTTTCTGTTGTTCTCAAAGAGGACCAAAATGACATCACTATGTAGGGGTCAAGGTACAGTGTGTCTGACTGTGGCTGATCCGACCAGCACGAGCTCAGAAGACTCTACTACATGTCAGGCATAAATAGTCCATGTGAATATTTGGAGTGGAGATACGTCCAAATTTGTGCATGTCTCATGTTTCTTTTGAGCTACTGCAATTCTGCTTTGCTCATAGAGTACAGCACTTTCTTTGATGCAAGCATGCCATGGAGAGGTGGTCCTTTGCCAGCGTCTACCATGTCTCACAATCAATTCCAAAATCCTTCAGAGAGACAGTGAGCGTGTCTTTGTATTGCTCTCGGGTAGACGATCATCTTCCAGGTGAAAGATCAGCTTACTAAGAACTCTGGCAAGAATCTTGCCAGCAATGACTAAGAGAGAGATTGCCCCTGGATTGTCACAGGACAATCTATTTCCTTTACCTTTATAGAGATGGACAATGGAGGCATCCTTGAACTCCTGGAGCAATGCTATTAAATGCTAACTATTAGTATTATTAAATGTGATATTAGGGATTATTGTAGGATTTTTATTTTTCATCTTTTAAAAGGTATCTCTTTTACACAAGTTCCTTTGGTTTCCCAGCAACTCCTCCCTAGATTACATGCTTTTGTGTCAATTACCATATGTATTTATTGCATAAGAAATAGAGTAACATGCTTCAAAAGAATTTTATGATAATCACTTATCATTTAAGCAATAGGAAGAAATGATTTTGTCCTTTATGGTCCAAATTTCTGTAAATGTTGTTTCCTCATCAATAAAACTACTTATTACAAGCTAGTGAGGATGGTGAGTATATATTTGATGCTGTTCTTTTAAAATATTATTGTGGAGAGAAAACTGAAGGTGAAGAAATTTTTAAATATGTAATTTAAAACTAGAATTTTTTATTTTACTAGAATGGCTTACAGTCAAGCTGAATGTGTTATAAAGAATATTATTCGAGAAATAGGACAAGAATGTGCACACTATGGAGAAACTGTTTCTGAAACTCTTGTGGCTTTTATGGTAGGAATAAAATTAACATTTTTATTATTAATAGTTTATTATGTTTTAATAATTGTATTCAATTACTCTTTAAAACTGTGTTCTATATGTTCCTCAGTTTAAAATATATTAAGCAGTGGGGGTATGGAGGAGGGATATGAAAGAAAGAAACATCTTGAAGGTATATAAATTCTGTATTTACAAACTGATTTTTTGAAAAAGATTTTATGAATTTGGATTGCCATCTAATATTGTTGCAGGGACTATTTTTGTCTTTCTTTATTTTCCCAGTGCTTAGAACAGTGCCTGACCCATAATAAGTGATAAATAAATAACTGTTGATTATGTTCTTTTACAAGAAATTTTACTTTTTTTTTAAATGTTCATTAACTCAGTGTTCGTGTTCCAGTTATCTATGAATAATAAAAGCGCGAATAAATGAAATACACAAATAACCCTCAATCCTAATTGTGGACATGAATTTCACCCTCTTTTCTTACCCAACTTTCCTGAGTTAATATTAATTTAAAGATAAATTATCAGATTTTATTTTTATCCCTTCCTCTTTCTAACTTGTGGTAGTATAAATATGGGTAGCAGAAGCTATAGTTCTAAATAATATCCCTGAATAATATAACTGAATAATTAGCCTCTACTTATCAAGAGTCAAATGTTATAATAAGAATAAAGACCAAATTTATACCCTGGTATTCAAGGTACTTCACAACTTATCCCCAAACCTACTTTTTCAGCCTTATCTCACACTACTCTCTTATATATATATATATATACATACACATATATATGTATATATATGTATATATATGTATACATATATATGTATATGTATATATATATATATATGTATGTGTATATATATACATATATATATATATATACATATATATATATACATATATATATATATATATATATATATATATATACTCTGTGCTCCAGCACTGGATTACTGGATTACTCCTTGTTCCTTGATTTATTAAGTCAACAAGCATTTATTAAGGACTAAGCACTAGTGACATTGGCAAAAACAAACAAACAAAAAAACAAAAACATTCCGTGCTGTCAAGGAGCTGAAAGGCAGGGGAAGGGGAAGGGGAAGGAGTTGGGAGTGGGGGGATGGGAATTGTGACTTAATCTGAAGAATGAAGGATGGCTAGTCTGGGTACCTCCTCAAAATGGAGGTTTCAGGAGAAACTCACCATTGAGAATAGGATGTAGAAACAAAGGGAGACGGCAAATCAGGTGTGGTGGCAAAGTCCATAGAATGCGTCTTTTTTTTTGTTCTTGATGTTTCCCTACTGTACAATGCCTGTTGTATCTGACCCATTTTTCAAGGTTTCACTCAAATGCCACCATGATGTTATCTCACCATGACATTATCCCTGATTTTCCCTGTTGGAAATTATTTCTCCCTCATCTGATCTCATTGTACCTTATAAGCCCCTTACATACTTACCATATTCTTACTTGTTTTGTATTTATATGTGTACAGGTCTCATCTATCTTAAATAGATTTTACATTCTTTAAGAGCAGAGTCTACGTCTTATTTATCTGCTTATCTCCCCCTCAACTTTCAGTACATTGCATGTTGTAGGACTTTAATAGGCTATGTTGAACCCAGTCTCTCAAGACACATAATAAACAGATTTCATCATAATCATGCCATTTAGTAAAGGCTTTTTTGCTATCTTGTAGGTGAAAGCTGTTGTTTTGGATCCAAGCAATGGCTTCAACATGGATCGAAACCTCACAAGATCTGATGTTCAGAAACTTGTTAAGGTGATTATGACTTAAGTTCTCAAGGTTGGGGTCATATTCTCATTCCATCTTAACTTATAAAGATATTTTACTATTGCTTTCATATCAACCTAATAGCATAATGTTAATATCTCTTGACATTCATATAATATTTAATATGTTAAAGAATTGTCAAACTAAATTGCATTATGATCTGCTACTCTTTCGATCAATGTAATTTTATGATTCAAGTTGATATCGCTTCTTTTCTAAGGGGAAAGCTGAAATCAAAATAAAATAATCATCAGAATTCAGAAATGAAGTGGATATGCCTGCAAACCAACTTTGGAAACTGAAGAAATCAAGAATTCAAGACATCTTTGATTTCTCTCATGTTAACTGTTTGTTAATCATTTTGTAAAAATGGATTAGTTGTCTCACCTATGTTTCTAAGATTAATCTGAGTCTGACCTTCATTGGATGTCTGAGAAGTAGGCAGTCATAAAGCTGTGGAGAAAAATTGTCTAGGTTTTACACAGGTGGGAGAAGAGTTTTTTCCACTTTCTTACCAACCAACGGTACCGAAAGAGGGCTGAATATATGCGCTCTGCCTGAAGCATAAGACGTGTGCAGAGATGGCGTAAAAGTCAAAGAAAGGGCATTGAGGTGGAGATCTGGAGATGCGGCTATAGAAATCACAAGATCTGGCATACCCCAGGGCTGATTTCTGTCCGTTGAAAAGTAGTTTCTCACGTTCTATAGACTAGTAAAATGGCTGTGATGCTAGCTGACCAGTTACACAGGAATTCAATGGAGAATGTAATCAAGACATCACAGGAGGTATCTCTGACTCAGTAAGGTGCGTTTTGCCATTCGCCTGAGTTGTAAGGGAAGACGTTATAGCCTAATGTAAACAAAATAGACACATAAACAAACTAGTGAAATGTGTCATTGTTCACAAATAATGAAGTCATTTCTTGTTTCCCTTCATGTTAGCATACAACTTAATCTACAAAGACAAGATCTGAAGCTGTGCGCTTTCCTGTTGAGAGAAAAAGCCCGTATGTTTCAGAGACATTTGTGTAATTCTTTTTCTCCCTAGATATGTGTTGATAGACTACTGGACCAAAAACATCCATCCCTGGACACAGTTAAGATGCAAGTTTACTTTGATATGAATTACACAAACCGAGGTAATGTGTCTGATACCCACCTTTAATAATGTTCTGTTAAACTCTGTATTATATTATAGAATAGAATATTATAAAATAGAATTATAGAATCTGAGAGTTGGACGAATTTCAAGAATCATCATGTTCAACTTTGTATCTGACCAAAAGTGCTTTTTACAGGATTTCTCCAAAAGTATTGTCCAGATTCTGCTGAAAGATCTCCAGTAAAGGTGAACCCACTACCATCTTGTGTTAGCCCTTTCTAGTTTTGTGATGAAGCTTTTTCTTCTATCTTATGTTAAATATGCTTCTGTGCACCTTCCACCAACAGCAACTAATTCTTCCCTCTGGGATCAAATTGAGCAATTATAACCACTTTTCTCAATACTGGCCCTTTAAATACTTGGAGGCAATAATGCTCTCCATCCCAAATTCTTCTGCAGGGTAAACATCCTCAATTCCTTTAATTAATCCTCATACGGTGTGGTCTACAGCCCCCTCCCCATCTATGTCGCCCTCTTCTGAATGAATTCTAGCTCATCTATCTTTCCCCAAATGTGATTTTCAGAAATGAACACACAAGTATGACATGAGCATTACAGAAGATAGCAGAACAATCACCTCCATTGTTCTCCACATTATTCCTTCCTTCATGATGTAGCCTAGGCTAGCATTAGCTTGTTTGCTGCCACATCACTGTTAACTCAACCACTAAAAAAACTTTAGATCTTTTTCAAAGGAAGGAGGGAGCGAGGGAAGGCAGGCAGGCAGGCAGGCAGACAGGCATTAATAAGTCCTATCCTAAGTGATTTGCAAATATTATCTAATTTGATCCTCACAATACGTTGATACTTTTATCATCCCCTTTTTATACATGAAGAAGATTAACCAGAGGGAAGTTAAATGACTTGCCCAGGGTCACACAGCTAGTAAGTATCTAAATCCACATTTGAACTCAGGTCTTTCTGATTCCAGGCTAAGCACTTCATCCATTGAGCCACAGGAATGATTGTCTAGCATTGTTTCCCCAATTCTTACACATCCCTCCCTTGCTCGAATCAAATTCAATTTGTAAATCATGCCATCACCTTCCTGATGTCATGGTCCTCTTTGAGAATGACCACACATAACAGTTCCTCTCTCAAAGGAAGTGCCCCATCCCTATTAGATTCCTTGAAATGTTCAGCGGTCTTTCTTTTCTGTGTCCCATTTTTCTACCATCCTGGTGAGAATTCCCTTCTATTTCTTTGAATCTTTTTTCTTCATTTTTTTCCCCTTGAACCATTATTTCAATTCTTTCAAGGAACACAATTCTCTCTTATAATCTGGAAAGTAGAAATGCTTTCTTTTGGCCTCTTTCTCCTAAAGAGCACAAAAGAACTAGCATTTTATCTGTACATACATGACAGAAACTCAAGTAGAATACACTTGGAGATCACAGAAAAATTATTTTTGTCCTCCATTCTTGCTGAAGCCAAGTGCCTCAGTCATTTGTCTTCTTTCTTATAGCTCTCTTGTCTCACACTTCTATATAGATGTGGCATCCTGCCTACTTGGGAGACACAAACTGCAAATGTCATGAGATGTATCCACCTACTTTCACGGTACCCACTGATATCTAAGTTACCATTTCCTTAGCTATTTATATTCCCTTAGACAATAGATGGTAAAAACACCATTTCTTTTTTGCTATGTAACACTTTTAAATTTTAAAAAAATTGTTTGGCCTTTTATAAACATTTTCCAGTTTGAGGGTATATAATGATGTGGGAAGTATTAACAAAAGGAAATATCAGATACCTCTTTTAGTGTTAAAAAGTAGTGCTATAATTATAATAATAATGCACTGTAAGTAGTGCATTATTAAATGGAATGTCATTATCATAAAGTTTTCATTTATGCTTTAATTGAAAATATTCTGTTATCTTTGTGGGTTTTTATTTTGAAAGACTAATGTCACTTCACAAGAATAGAAAGTTTACCTTACAAATGAAAATTGTCCCAACAGTGGAAATTCTGATTAAAATATGGTTTAGTGGAAAGAACACTGGTTTATAAAGGAAATGTTGGGAAAGGCAATGATTGCTTTACTGGGAAGCACTTGGACTGGGAGTTAATCTCATGAACTCATTTATAAGATTAAGATTTTGGAGGAAATGATCTCTAAGGTTCCTTCCAGCTCTAACATTCTATGATTCTCAGATTTATGTTAATTTATGTTAATTAATTTATATTAATTTAATATACTCCTTGTTGAATTATTTTCCAATGACTTTATCATTTAAATGATATAACTGACTATTGTAAAGCAAAATAATGATGAAGACTCAAAGTAGAAAAGTGATCATGGAATAAATCTAGTTAAAAATGAGATGTTTCTTTAAATTTGCAAGGTGGTACTATTTAGAATAGCCAAAGAACCAGCTGTTTTTATAGCAAGAGTGACAAAAAGTATGACACAGTTGGATGTTAATATTTTGGGAGGGAGGTGGTGGTACAGAATTAGACTGTGATTTTAATGGTAGAGAGAAATCCTCAAGTGAAAACCTGGTTGGCTAAAGCATATACCAACAGCTGCTCTGAAATTTAAAAACTTAGATAATTACCTGGGGTTTTGAGAAGTAAAATGATATGCCTGGGGCCATGTAGCCATTATATACCAAGAGTGGGACTTGAATCCAGGTTTTTCTAACTTTGGGGCCAGCACTACACCATGCTGCTTCTGCCATGTTAATAACTGCCTTCATAATGATAGTGTAGGGTACTGAATGCTTGATTTGGGGGCATCCTGGTATTATTAGAAAAGTACTTGACTGGGAATCAAGAGATCTGATTTCTAGTCTTATAACTGCCGCTATCTATGTGACCTTGAACAAATCAGTCACTTCTCCTTTGTTTCCTTGTCTGTAAAATAAGAGAATTATGAACTTCCTGGGCCTCAGTTCCCTCATCTGTAAGACTGGATTAAATTGCCTCTGAGGTGCCTTCAAGCTATAGATCTGGGGTGTGCTGGAGCTGGCTTATACCTTGCAAGAGCTGATTGTTAAATTTTCAGTGTGAATATTCATACTTCAGAAATTGGCAAATGCTGCAAATTGGGCTTGATTTATTATTTTGTTGATTGCCTAGACTTAAGAAAGTGATGGAGAAAATGTTAATAATGCAGATTAAACTTAAAAATGTGTCATGAGTACAGTTTTTTTCCCAGAGAGCTAGTTGTTAAACATTTATCAACACACCACTGTCATAATCCTATAATCTTAGGATCTCAGTGATTAAAGAGTTAAAACACATAACCTCTAAAGTCCCTTTTGGCTCTAAAATCCCATATTTCCATGGTCTTTGATTCATTTATGATAAAAAGTACCATTAATTATGAAGTTGGCTAAAGGAATGATTAGTCATGCCATGGTCTGAGTTTCTTGCCACATATATTGCATGACTTGGATAAATGACAAAAGGAGAATGATGTGATATTGTATTTTTATTGGTGTTCCATGGAGATTGTCTTTTTATTAGAGATTTCATTGTTATTTTATAATTCTTATATTATTTGTTATTTGAGTTTTGAGTCTGGTATGTGGGCATCCACCATGTTTTATAGTACAATAAGCCATGAAATTGGAGTCAGAAGACCTGGGTTCAACACTCAACTCAGATGCTTGTTAGCCATGTGACTTTGAGCAAATTACTTAACTCTCGACTGCACCTCAATTTCCTCACTTTTCAAATGTGAGTAATAATATTCTACTCAACAGAATAACCATTACCTACTCAATGGAGGGTACTATAAGGAAAGTCTTCTACATGTCATAAAATGCTATACAAATGTGAACCATAATTATCTTGCCAAAATACATCAGTTAAATTGCTGTGAAGAATAATCTGGTAATGACTTCACCTTGACACTGTGGTTTATTTTTATTTTAAGATATAAGAATTAAGAAAACATGATGTTAATAATGAAGTAAAAATGCCACCCCATGCCAGTTTCCTCCCAGCAATATCTTTTTTATGTGAAAATAGAAACTAAAATATTAGTTATGTGAAAGATGTTTTCTTTGTCCTTTTCCAGAGGAATTTCTTGATGAACATCATCGAGTCCTAGAATCCAGATTAAGCATTGTTAGCAGAGAAATCACTGATAACAGGGCCCGCACTCGAGAAGAATTAGAGAGCCTGTACCGGAAGATTGTCAGCTACATATTACTACGTTCTGGTCTTGGATCTCCTACTGACATCAAAGTTGTCAGAGAGGCAACAGGTCAATAATATAAATCTTTTACATTCCTTGATGTGGGGCATGAGGGTAGGGAGAGTAAGATAATTTTATCTTTATAATAAGTGCTTAATTGCCATCTTAGAGATTTAATCCTCTTCTTTATCCACAAAAGAAATAGAGAATAAACAGGAAATGAAAGCTCAGCTGTTACAGCTTTCTCAGTGTATATCAATTCTAACCCTAAAGAATCATCTCTAAGAAGTAAAATGTTGTTATTGATCATTTTCTTAGAGTCATAGATACTTGAGCACTTGTTGTATCATGATAGAGGAGAGCTAAACACAGAGTTAGGGTACCAGACTAACTGGTAAAGATACTAGGTAGATTAAGGTAATACGGATGGGCAAGAGTTGTGTTGTCACCTGAAGTGGGGGAAGGAAAATAGTAGTATCCTATTGAGTATTATATTGCCCGGAAATGTGTCCCCGCCTTCCCCCTGTCCTCCTGCCACTTCCATTTAGTTAAAGTTATAATATATGGACTAAATTTTGCCTTGCTATTTTACTGGTTCCATGGTTTCATCAAATTATTTACTTTAATACAAAGTATTGCCTCCTTCACTACAAATTGAAATCCTTCCATCTTAGATGATTCTTGTTCATGTGTGAATTCTTCCCAAAGTACATCAGATACTGAGTTTGTAGAATCTAAATGTAGAGGTTGTATTATCACCGGTACAGACGACATATCACTATAAAAATACCAATGGGTATATTCCACTGCACATTATTTGTTGCCCTTTTATTCTGCCTTCTATAAAAATGTTCTCGAGATTATCTGGCTTAGATGGATCTCATTCCAGTCACTCTGGAGGCTCATTTCTCCTCAACTGCTTTTTATTGTTTTCTGGATTGATACCGCTCATTGATCTCAACACTCTACCACCATTCTCCTCTGTAATATTTTAAATGTGGTATCGACATCTTGATTTTTTTTTAATAACACTTCCTTCTCATAGACCCCTCTCTTTTAACAAAGAGAGCAAAGCCAAATGACAGTAATTTCTTCTGACAATACATACAGCATTTCATACCAACAGTCCCCTTTTTCCTTCCTGAGGAGAGTGAAATGTATTGCATCATCCATACTTTGGAACCAGGATTGGTTATTTCACTTAATCTGAATTGTGTTGTCTTTTAGTGTTGTTTCGTTTTCATTATTGTAGCTATTGTGTATATCATTCTCCTGGTTCTTATTTCTTTGGATTAGTTCATACATGTCTTCCCACGTTTTTTCTGAAGTCTTCCTATTCATCATTCCTTACAGAGTAATAATATACCATTACATTCATACTGGGCAGCTAGGTGGCACAGTAGATAGAGTGCTGGGCTGGAGTCAGGAAGACTTATCTTCCTGAGTCCAAATCTGACCTCAGGCACTGACTAGCTGTGTGACCCTGGGCAGTCACTTAACCTTGTTTGCCTCAGTTTCCTCATCTGTAAAATGTGCTGGTAAAGATGTTGTTGTCTTTGTTGTTGAGTTGTTTCAGTAGTGTCTACCTCTTTGTGACCCCATTTGGGGTTTTCTTGTCAAAGATATTGGAGTGGCTTGCCATTACCTTTTCCACCTCATTTTACGCATGAGGAAACTGAGGCAAAGTGACTTGCTCAGGGTTACACAGCTAGCAAGTGTCTGAAACAAGGCTTGAACTCAGATCTTCCTGACTCAAGGTCAGGCACCTACCGTCCTGGAATTTAGCCATTCTCTAACTGAAAAGCACCTACTTTGTTTCTAGTATTTTTCTACTACAGAAAAAAACGTATTGCACTGAATCTTGGTATGAATGTGACCTTTTGTTTGTTTGTTTGTTTTGTTTTGTCATTGAACTTCTTGGGGATGTATGCTCAGTAGTGAGAAATCGCTGGGTGAAAAGGAATGATCAGGTTACTCACTTTTCCAACATAGTTTCAAATTGTTTTCCAGAATAACTGGTCCTATTCACAGCCTTTTAAACAATATATCAGCAGTGCCTGCTTTACCACAGTCTATCTAAAACTGGGTATTTCAGTCTTTTATCATTTTTGCCCATTTGATGGAGGTAAAGTGATGTGTGGGCGTGAGACTTCTGAGTAGTTTACAAGTTTTTGGCCTCTTTCATCTCTTAAGCCCAAGCCAGATTTTATGACAGGTTTTGTTGATTTGTTTTTACAATCATAATTCTTGCATTCAGTTCACCAAACATCAGGAAATATACTGATTAAGCTTATAGGATCCAGGCAAAGTTATTCATATGATTGCTCAAATTTTCTATCCTTTACAATGAATATTAGCAGATAAGATACAATTCTTTATGGTGGCCTATTTGACATTAGTTAGACGTACTAACTATAAGGTGCTTCTTCTTACTTTTGTTTATACCAGGAAACCAGCTTCACTAAATCTTTTATTTGCCTCTCAAAGAAGAACCTTTTTTGTTTAGCTGCTATCGCTTTATACTCTGTGGTTTCATTTATAGCTTGAATCAATATTGATAATGGTTCACTTTTTATAGTAGCATAACTAGTATATACTAGTATTGTAGTATTTAGTGTAACTCACTGGTCATGGAAGAATTATTGTGCATTAAGAATACCAAAGGAATAAGTTAATACTTGTAGACAGCTTTAAGGTTGTCTATCATTCTTAGAAACTTATGCTTCCATTTATGCTATTCTGTCACTATCATTGAAGAAGGGGATTGTATAGGAATGAGGAACATTTGTTGTTTTTGCCATGGCTAAAAATAAATACATTTATCATGTAGTGGCCAACCTTCTGATCATGAGCCTTTCTGTGCTTATCTAGATCACTCATTTCAATTCAACAAACTTTTACTACCGACCTGCAGTATGCAGAGCACTGTGGTAGGAATTAGTAGAGATACAAGGCTAGATAAAATTAGTTTCTGCCAGAATGGAGTTTTTAGTCCAATAGGGAAATAAAACACATGCAGATAACTATAATAAATGAGATCATATAGCACGGACAATAAAGAGCTACAAAACAAAATGCTATTGAGCTCTAAGGTAGAAAAGGTTGTTAAATGACAAGGGAGATCAAGGAAGGCTTTCTGGAGAAAGTATTTTAGTTGCGCTGATGTGGGTGAGAAAGTGAGGAAGGAGAAGGAAACACATTAAGGCATAAGAAAGTATTTGCAAGGGCATAGAAGCAGGAAATCAGATTTTGAGTGACAGAGAGTAACCTAGTTTTTTCAGAACATTGAGTATATGTATAAAGGTAATACGAGATAAGGTTGGAAAAGTAGAGAGAGAATATTTCTAGACTATAGAGGGCTTTGGGTGTCTTATATGGTATGGAGATAAAAACTATCATAAAACATATGACATATAATATGTAGTATGTAGACTATGCTATATGGAATTCCTATTCCAACAATTCTCATATATGGCTGAGATTAAGTAGAATGGGATTCTTGACTGAAATGAAAATCTGGCCAACCGGGGGAAGTAGATGATGATTTCCTGATTTGAACTACTATAAAACTCTTTCTGCTAAAAGAAGAGCATCTGATAAACTTCATGCATTGCAGACATTCATTTTTTAAAAAGAGAAATAAGAAATCACTAGGGAAATTAGTCATATTATGGATATGATTTTGACCTCCAGCAAGAAAATGAATGGATCCTCGGAAGAAAGTAGCCAAGTTGTATTAGAACTCATGATCAATGGGAAGTACAAAGGCAAACTCAGATGGATATGTACTCTAAACTTTAGGATATAGGATTTTAGAAAGTTCAGAGGAAAGATAGCTGTGATTCCATGGCTTAAACCTCTCAGCTCATTTAGACTTGAGTCAGCTCAAGAAGAACAGAAAGCTCTAAAGAATGAAATTCCTTAGCAACTATCAGGGATTCTGATGAGAAAGAGATGAAAAAAAGGTGTCTAAAATATGAATATGTCTACAAGGAAAGCTTACTGCTAGATTTTTATTTTTAAAAGGACATGTAAAAAAAATGGAAATGAGAGCACCTAGCTAAGGATGGAGACAAAAATTGGTATGGCTCTATAAGCACAATATAAGGAAGGTTAAACTTGCAAAATGCTGAGAAAAAGAAAGTCTATAAAGGAAGGGAGGTATATTGAGGGCAAGAAGAACAAGTGGCTAATTGCTTGGGGTGGATGAGGTGAATGATCACAAATGAAAATAAAAAGCAAACTACTCCTTCCTCTTTATCAAGAAGAATGATGATCAGACTGGACATGATAGAATTAAAATTGTTAAAAGGAAACCGAAAGCCAAAATAAGTGAGAAGTTAGTCAAAGAGTACCTCCCTGCCTTAAATGAATTCAAGTCACTTGGCATGGATGAATTCCATTTAAGAAAATTGAACGATGTCACCCCTGTGATAATTTCCTCAAATGTATTTTTTTCCTTCAAGGATAAGCTTGATCATTACAATTATAGCATTTAGCTTTGACTTTTTTGGTGTTGTTACTTCCATTGTTTTAGACATTATGTGTATTTTCCTGGTTCTGCCTACTTTTCTTCATCAGTTTTTGCTGAACTAACATATAGGTAATCTTTGTGGAATCATGGAGAATAAGAGATGAGTAAATGCTGTCTTGATTTTCAGAAGTAGAAGGAAGGTGGGTTCTTCGAGTTACAAGCCAATGAGCTTAATGTTAATTACTAGAAAGAATGTTTTTAACAGATTTTTCAAACAGATGATGTGAAAACACTCAGGAAAGGAAGTAGTGATTTCCAAAATCCAGTATGGTTTCATTAAGAACAAAACATGACAGATTAATTTCATTTCTTTTTTGCAATGAGTTTATTTACAAGAGAGGCACATCAGTGTAATACAGCATGCCTGGATTTCAACAATGTAGTTGACAAAGTTTCATATGAATAAGAGAATCATAAGCTTATTGATATAATAGGTGAATTCAGAAATGATGGTGTGATTGAATCTAAATAGTGTTAATTGGTGGATCAAAATTGATCTATGTGCTTCATTGCTCTATACTTGACCCTGATTTTTTAAAACATTTTCACTGTCTTGGATGAAGACTAATTGGCAAAAATCTGCAAAGGATAGTGGATATGTCAGATGACAAAGTTGGGATCACCTCCAAAAAAACACTCAAAAATTAAAATGATAGGTCAAATAAGTTTACATAAAATTTAACAGGCATACATGTAAAATTCTGAAATTAGCTTTTAAAAATCAAGTATACATTGTACAGTTTGGGAGAGATGTGGCTCAGTAATAGGCAAGTCCACATTAAAAAAAACTAGGAATTTTAGTGCACAGAAAGCTCATTAGGAAACAGGGGTTTGATGTGGCAGCCAAAACAGGTAAAGTGATTCCAGGTGCTGTGAGTAGAAGGATAGTTAGTGAATAGAAGGAGAATGGTGATTGTTCTCCCACTGCACGAGGCAGACTACATCTAACGTACTTTATTCCTGACATCATTTTTTTTTTTTGGAGAGGCAGTTGGGGTTAAGTGACTTGCCCAGAGTCACACAGCTAGTGAATGTTATGTGTCTGAGGTCACATTTGAACTCAGGTCCTCCTGACTCCAGGGCCCTATCCACTGCGCCACCTAGCTGTCCCTAGACATCAAATTTTAGGAAGAACTCTGACAAACCTAAGTGCAGCCAGAAGAGTAAAGTGAGGAGACTTAAAACTATGCCACCAGAAGACTGGTTTAAGTAGCTAAGACTGTTTAAGCTAAAGAAATGTAAACTTGGGGCAGCAGGCATGATTATGGTCTTCATACATATTGGAAGGGCTGTGCTATGTGATAATAATAATAGCTAGCATTTATATAGCACTTTAAGGTTTGCAAAGCCCTTTGTGTTACCTTCTGTGATCCTCACAACTACCTTTGAGGTAGGTACTGTTATTATCCCCATTTTACTGATGAGGAAACTGAGGATAAGTGATTTGTCCAGGGTCACATAGCTAGTAAGTATCTGAAGCAGGATTTGAACTTGGGTCTTTCTTGATTATTCTTCTTGGCACTGGTGGGCAGAATCAGAAAAAATCAGTAGGTAGCTTTCAGCCTTTATGAAAAATAAAAAGGAAGAACTTCTTTATGATTATCTGCTTCAGGAGATAGTGAGTTCCCCACCATTGAAGGTCCTTAAGCAGAGGATGGATCATCAGTTCCCTCTGTCAAATGAGAAATAGCTGAACCAGTTGTGGTATATATGATTGTGACGGAATAGTATTGTGCTATAAGAAATGAAGAGCAGGATGATTTCAGAAAAATCTGGGAAGACTTGCATGAGCTGATGCAGAGTGAAGTGAGCAGAACCAGAAGAACACTGCATATGATGACCGCAGTATTTGTACCATGATCAACTGTGAGTGACCTAGCTTTTCTCAGCAATACAAGGTCCAAGACAATTCGGAAGGACCCATGATGAAAAATGCTATCCATTTCGCCTCCAGCGAAAGGATCGATAGAGTCTGAATGCAGATGGAAGCGTACTTTAAAAAAAAATTTTTTTTCCTTGTTTTGTTTTGTCAGTCTATATTTTCTTTTGCAACACGGCTAATATGGAAATGTGTTTTACATGATTACACGTTATAATCTATGTCAAATTGCTTGCCTTCTCATGAAGCAGAGAGGGAAAGGAGGGAGAAAATTTGGAACTCAAATTTTTAAAAAACAAAAGTTGAAAATTTTTACAAGTGGGAAAAATAAATATGAAAATTTTCCCTTAGGAAAAAAAAATGTTCCTTCTCTGTCACCCACTCAATTAGACATCCTCTGTAACAAAGAATGGAAAAGAAAGAGGAAAAAATTAATTCGGTAAAATTAACCACATCAGCTAAATCCGACCAAAAATGCATTGTTTTACACTCATATCTCCCCACTGCTGCATAAGAAGGTAATTTCCTCACTTTTTTCCCTTTGGAGACAAGTGCTTGGTCATTATAATTATAGCATTCTGTTTTCATTTTTGGTGTTGTTATTTACATTGTTATAGTCATTGGGTTATTTTCCTGGTTCTTCCTGTTTCTCTGTATCAGTTCATTTCTTCCCGTGCTTCTCTGTATCCTTCAGATTCATGGTTTCTTATAGCACAGTAATATCCTATTACATTAATAGGCAGCTAAGTGGAGTAGTGGATAGAGGACTTGACCTGGAGTCAGGAAGACCTGAATTCAAATCTTGCTTCAGATACTCACTAGCTATGAAGACCTTGGGCAAGTCACTTAATGTTTGCCTTAATTTCCTGAACTGTAAAATGGGGATAAAAATAGCATCTTCTGGGGAGAGCTAGGTGGTATAGTAGATAGAGCATGGGCCCTGGAGTCAGGAAGACCTGAGTTCAAATCCTATCTCAGATCAGACACTTGACTCTTACTAGCTGTGTGACCCTGGGCAAGTCACTTAACCCCAATTGCCTCACCAAAAAAAGAAAAAAAATCTTCCTCCCAGGTTTATTGTGAGGATTAAATGAGGTAATATTTATAAGTGCCTGCCATATAGTAAGCATTGTTGAAATGCTTATTGTTGTTGTTATTTTCATCATCGTTATTAGTAACCACAATTTGTTTAGCCATTTTCCAGTCAATGGGCATGTACTTTGTTTCTACAAAAAATGTCATTCTAAATATTTAACAAATAAGTAGATAAACAAACAAAAAAATCAATACATTGGCTGTGTCTAAAAATGTATGCCATATTCTACTATAGTCTACTATCTCTCTCCTGCGAGAAGGAAGGTGTGCCACTGATTTTCTTTTTTACAAAATTACATCTTTTATTTTTATATCACCTTTGTTTACACCCCCCCCAAACTAACAAATCATCCGAGTCTGACAATATATACAACATTTCACATCCCTAGTCACCCATCTGTGCAAGGAAAGGGTGGAGGTGTATTTTCTCCTTCAACCTGTAGGGCTGAGTTTGATAATTTATAATTACGTAATTTTGATTTTGTTGTTGTTGTTTCCATTTACATCATCATAGTCTTTGTGTATGTTGTTCTTTTCATTCTCCTTATTTCTCTTTGTGTCCAATCTTATGTCTTCCTCTGTTTCTCAGCATTCTTCATATTAATCATTTCTTTTTTTTTTTCCTCTTTAGGCAATTGGGGTTAAGTGACTTGCCCAGGGTCACACAGCTAGTAAGTGTCAAGTGATTGGTCTAAGGCTGGATTTGAACTTAGGTCCTCCTGGCTTCAGAGCCAGTGCTCTATCCACTGTGCCACCTAGCTGCCCCCTTAATCATTTCTTATGATGCAGTAACATTCCATTACATTTATGTACAATAAGTATCTGTTGTCTCCATATTTTTACTGCTAAAAAGTGTTACTACAAACATTTTAGTGTATATGGGACCTTTCTTTCTGCTTTTGACCTCCTTGTGATTTGTGCCTCATAGTGGGATCTCTGTGTCAGAGGATATAGACATTTACATCACATTTTCCACATTACTTCAAATTGCTTTCCAGAATGGTTAAGCCACTTCACATCTCCACCAACAGTTCGTTACTGTGCCAGTCTTTCCACAGTCCCTTCAACATTGATACTTATTGCCATTGATTTTCAGTAGTGCAAATAGTACAATTCATTCCTGTTGTATATTAAATATCGTCTGATGAACCATGGTCTGTCTAGAAATTATATATCATTTTAATATTTAAAGACTCATTATTCTACTGTTACTCATGCTATATGACTGTTTCAACACCTTTTAGCTGGAAAAAATAATTTTATTTGGAGTGTATCTTAAATCCACATTTTCCCACTTCTTTTTCCTATATGAATTTTTGTGTATGTTTTTTTTTCCTTTCCTCAGCTGCTCTACAGAGTGTTTTTCCTCAATCTGAACTTGGTACTTTTCTATCCCTTTCCAAGAAGGACAAAGAGCGCCAACTGAAAGAACTCACCATGATTGTCACTGGAATTCGGCTATTCAACAAAGACTGTGGAAAGGGAGGAGAAGGCATTGATAATTGTAGGTATAAGGTTAAATTAATTCTATAAACCTATCATGACTTATGTAAATTTTATTGTAAATATCATGATTATGTAAATTGTTGTAAACAAGATTGAAGTTTATCTTGTTCAGTGGCTAAAATGATGGGATGGCTAGGATAGTTAAAGCTCTTTTTATCTGGGACCCCAAAGTGACTGCCAGACATTTGCCAGGAACCTGCCATTTAAAGAACCCACATCACTAATGTAAATTAGTCATTTTTGTAGGTACACTGTTTTAGTGTGCTAATGCCTACTGACTCAATTATTGATCCAATTTCTTTTTAAAATGCCAAATTGACATACACGCTATTTTCCTTCTCCAGCATGTTCTCTGAAGTTATTTCACAAGATCTTTGCATGGCATCATTGATGGCAAAGAGAAATAGAGATACAGAGTGGGTACAGCATAGAATATATTACCTGGAATCTAGTAGGTGATTACTGAATGCTAGTTGATTGATTTAAAAATTTCCCATTGAGCATACTGACAATATATATGTAAAGGAGGTGGATTATAGATAAAGTAAATGATCCTACTGGGGTAAGGACTCATCTGATAAAAACTGCTGGGAAAGTTAGAAAGCAGACTGGCAAAAATTAGCTTTAGACTGACATCTCACACCACACCATTCTTGAAACGGATACATGAACTGGATATAAAAAAAGGTCACATTGTAAGCAGAGGAGGAGCAAATAAAGAAGTACCTTTTGCAGCTATGGATAGGGAAAATCTCTTGGCCAAACAAATGATAGAGTGGATCATGGGAAACAACATGGAAAATTTTGATTTCATAAAATTGAAAAGCTATTGCACAAATAAAACCAATGCAGTTAAAATAAGAAGGGGAGCAGTTAATTGGGAAACATCTTTTTTTAAAAAAATATTTTATTAATTTATTTTGATTTATCAACAATCACTTCCATATGCTTTTGAGTTGAAAATTTTTCTCCCCCTTCCTCCCCCCCCACCCTCCCCAAGACGGCACACAATCTGATATAGGCTTTACATTTACATACCCATTAAACATATTTTCTCATTAGTGAAGTTGCAAGTAAAACTTAAAACCAATAGGAGGAACCATCAGAAAGATGAAACAAAACTCAACAGAAGAGATAAATAAGTGATAGCGATTCGACTTCCATAGTTCTTTCTTTGGATGTGGACAGCATTTTCCATCCCGAGGCCTCTGGAGATGTCTTAGATCCTTGTAATGCTGAGAAGGGTTCAGTTTAACATTCTTAGTCATTGCATAACGTGGCTGTTATCGTGTACAAAGTCCTCTTGGTTCTGCTCACTTCACTCAGCATCAGACCATACAAGTCTTTCCAGATTTTTCTGAAGTCAGCCTGCTCATCATTTCTTATAGCACAATAGTATTCCATTATATTCATATACCACAACTTACTCAACCATTCCCCAATTGATGGGCATCCTCTCAATTTCCAATTCTTTGCCACCACAAAAAGAGCTGATATGAATATTTTTGTACATGTGGGTCCTTTTCAAATCTTTTTTTGTTTGTTTTTGTCTAGGCAATGGGCTTAAGTGACTTGCCTAGGGTCACACAGCTAGTGTCAAGTGTCTGAGGCCAGATTTGAACTCAGGTCCTCCTGACTCCAGGGTCAGTGCTCTATCCACTGCACCACCTAGCTGCCCAATTGGGGAACATCTTGACAGAACTTTCTCTAATAAAAGTCTGATATCCAAGATACATAGGGAAATGATTCAAATATGTAAGAACATTTATTATCCCCAATGGATAAATGCTCAAACTATATGACCAGGTAGTTCTCAAAAAGTAATCTATTGGCATTGTATAAAAATGTTCTAAATCACTAGTAATGAGAGAACTGCAAATTAAAACAACTTTGAGGTTCTGCTCCACATAACTCGATTGGCAAAAGTGAGAAAAAAAAAAGTGACAGTTTTTAGAAGGCATGTGCAAAGAAAGGTACCCTAATGTACTGCTGGTGGAGCTGTGAATTTCTCCAGCTATTCTGGAAAGCAATTTGAAACTATACTTCTAAAGCCACTGAATTTATTTGGTGTGATGGTAACCTCACCAGACTTGAGTGAAGGAACAAAGAAGCATTTATGAAGCATTTACTCTATCCCAAGCATTGTGTTAAAACACTGGGAATAAAAGTACAATAGCAAAAATAGTACTTCCCCTCAAGGAAGAAAACAAACATTTATTGAGCACCTACTATGTGCTGGGCATTTATTCAGCGCCTGCTATGTGCTGGGCACTGCTAAAAGCTTTACAGATATCATCTTTTTTGTTCCTCACAGCAACACTGGGAAATAGATGCTATTATTATCATTCCTATTTTACAGGTGAGGAAACTGAGGCAGATAAAGGTTAAATGATTTGCCCAAGGTCATAAAGCTAATAAGTATTTGAGACGGGATTTGAACTCAAGTCTTCCTCACTCCAAGCCTAGCACCCTCTTTACTATACCACCTATAGTCTCACATTCTACATGCTTACATTCTAATGGAGGAAATAGTACATACAAGAAATAGTGGCCAGACAGTCTTTTTTTTTTTTTTAGTTTGGAAACTACAGGAATGGTGAGTAAAACCATGGGGGAGCAGATTAATCCATCTTTTCCAGGGGCGGTGACAGAGTTGTTTTGATTGTGTATCCCATACCAGAAAGCTGGAGGAGAGAGGGAAGGAGCAAAAGTTATGCATGCATTCAGCAACAAGGTTGCTTGTGTGAAGATTATTGTTGAAGGAAGTGAAGCAAGTACAGAATTGGGCTTAAATGTAGTGGGAGAATTAAGGTGACTACCAATGAGGGCAGGACCTTTTGTGGTTTCCCACTTTGGGGTTATTGTTCTAACCATTAGTATTGGTTGTAGTAGGACCTATGAGACCAATTTTTTTTTCCAGGTGCTCCATAATTTGTTTGAAAAAATAGATCCAACTTAATGGTTATAAAGGAACTAAGTTTCCTTTTTTTCTCCTCTCTTTAATCTGTTAGACTGTTTATGTGCTGCCTTTTAATAATTTTTTTTGAACAGTGCCAGCTATTCTGAATGAAGCTATTCCAGCCACCACCCAACATATTGATTCACAACTGCAGACTTCCCAAGAACAGGCGTACCGGTACACAGCGATTCTGGAGAAAGCAACAGAAAACCCACTCAGAATGAAAGATCTTGAGCCCTTAATGATAAAAGAAGCCTTGTTTAATCTGAGACAATATGAGGTTTTCCTTAATATAATTTTGGTGAGTTGTTACAATATCGGGCATTCTCAAAGTTAACAGGGTAGTTTGTAGAGTTCAAGTGAGGGTAGGGGGTGAGGGCAATCAGGATTAAGTGACTTGCCCAGGGTCACACAGCTACTAAGTGTCTGAGGCCATGTTTGAACTCAGGTCCTCCTGACTCCAGGGCAGGAGCTGTATCCACTGTGCCACCTAGGTACCCCTAAAACATCAGTTTTTAAGGGGGCATTTGCAATAGTTATACTGTGTTTCTATGGGCCAAAAATGAATAGGTAAGTTGCACTTAATGAAGATATCACCACTGAACTGAATCTGTATACCTTTAGATTCTTCAAAATATGTCATTCTCTGTGATCATGGCAAATGTGAGAAAGATTGGTGAAAATTTCCCTCTGATGTTTTAGGAACTTATTTATAGGTCCAGGCATTCTGACTAAGAGGCTAGAAATCTAATTTGGAATTTGATTTACCAGTCTAAGTCTTCCCCAAAGCTTAGGCTTTCACAAATGAGTTGATAATCTACTGACATAAGAAATTAAACCCAGAGTATGGTTTATTGGGCTACATATTTTTTTAAGATTTAATTTTCTAAAAAAAATTTATTAACGAAAGTCTATTTCTGTCCTTGCCATAAGGGGGGGGGGGAAGAAGAAAGAAAAGAAATACAAAAACCTTCTAACAGATATGCATAGTCAAGCAAAACAAGTTTCTTCATTGATCGTGTCCAAAAAAAAGTCTCATTCTGCTCCCTGGGACTGCAGATTTATTGACCAAACTATATTTGAATTGAACTGAACACACTTTTTTCCAGATGAACTAGCATTTCACAACTGTTCTGGGTAGAGTGGAAAGAGCCTCTGGACTTGGACACTCCTAGCTTCCCGGTTTACTAGTTATGTACAGCTACTTCAGGCAAGTTCTTCTACCTCTGTGAATGCCAGTAAAACTGGTGCTTATACTTATACTGCTTATCTCACAGTTATTGTCAGGAAAGTGCTTTGTAAGCCATAGGGTGCCACATACATATAAACATATACGAACACACACATATACACCCCAGATCAGCCCAGTGACTGTTTTTGTCACAGTGAAGTGTGGAATTACGAAATTATAGAATCTCAGCACTGAAGGGACATCAGCCTCTATCTAGTTTAATCTGTACATGAGCAAACATCCTCCTTAAACCATTCCCAACAAAGCCTTTCCTTGGAGACCTACAGGGAGGGGGATGGCAACCTCTTGAAGGAACACATTCTTTGTTTGGATAGCCCTAATTGCTAGGAAGTTTTCCATTGTATCTAGACAAAAAATGCCTGTCACTTTTCTCTGTTGCTCATAGTTCTGTCATCTGGAACCAAGCAAAATTAGTTTAATTGTTCTTCCATGGGATAATTTCAAATACTCGAAGAGATCTCTTATGTCCTTTCTGTCTTTTTTATTTTCTTAAATTCCAGACTAACATCCCAGTTGCTTCCATTGATCTTTATTTGGTATAATCTTTTTGTATGCCTTCTTTTCATTTGACTTCTTCCAATTATTCTCAATTCAAATTTTAATGCATATTATTATATATTCAATTTTCAATATATTTCCTTCCTACTTCTCCTCCTCCCCTACTGCGGAAAAAGAAAAAGAAAAACGAAACTATTGTTAACAAATATGCATGATTGAACAAAACAAATTCCCACATTGGCCATGTCCAAAAAAAATATATGTCTCATCTTTCATCCTGAGTATTTGACATGATTTTAAGGGCTTTCACTATCTGATTCCTTCCTTCAGATACTCAGAAGCTCGTTGATTTAGAGCTGAAAGAAGCTTTAAAGACCGTCTAGTCCAGAATATCATTTTATTGATCAGGAAACTAATGCCCACAGAGGTTAGGTGGCAATGTTTTTTGTTTTTGTTTTTTTTTAAATATACTGCCCAGAATGGATCAAAACAGTCTGGATGTTGTCTGAACAGGGCAGAGTGCAGCTTGATGGGTTATCACTTCTCTAGTGTTGAATACTGTGTCTCTTAACATAGCCTAAAATTACATTTTGTTTTGTTTTGTTTGTTTTTAGCTCTTTTATCAGTCAATTTGTATTGAACTTGCCATCCACTTAGCCTCCTGGATTTTTTCCTGATCAATGACATTTTCCTCATCCTGTACTCATGAAGTTAATTATTTTAAAACTCCATATAAAGAGGAATTGTGGGAAGATAGCAGTGTATTTGGACCAATAGGAGCCCAGATCCCTCACATATACCACTGTAAAGCCCTTATTAACAATAGAAAAAATCAATAATAAGCCAAAAAGAATCAGCTACAAACTCCTTCATCCAGTCCAGGACCACCACTACCCTCCCCCTACCCTGTAAAAAGACTTCCAGAAGTCTTTTTTTCTGTGCAGAAGCACAGAATGTAGACAAACTAGGCTAGGTAGGGTAGGTAGAAGGCAAACTGTGAAACATCCCTGTTTTACTGCAGGAGAGAGGGCGAAGATTAACACCCAGTCTATAGGACAATTCCCTGGGACTCCAGCCATAGTAGGAAAAAGGGTCAGACCTGTCTCCACCCACTCCCAGAGTGGGCGATACCACCCCCTGGGGGGCAGTGAAAACACAAGGAAAAAAGAGAAGAAGATTTTGAAAAACCATTCATATGTGTTTTTTCTGTTTTGGAATAGAGGTAAAGTCATAGTGATTACATTTTTTCCCCAAATACACACACCAAAATGCAAGTTATAACCCGGGCCTGCACAACCTGTTTTCTATAGGCTGCTTGCAGTCTGCGGGACATTTTCAGTACAGCAAAGGATTTTGAGTAGCCCATGAAAAATGTAGAGGATATTTTTCTCTATTTTTTTGGGGGGAGCCACAGGTTGTGTAGACCTGTTATAATGAATCAGTGGTCAAGTATGCCAACAAGTCTTAACAAGCAAGTGTTGGCAGGAGAGCTTGTTGTGCATTGTTGGGAAGTCCAGCATGTACCAGCAGGAATATGTGCATGTAATGACTTGTTTACAATATACTACTATATAGTCACATGATACAATATTGTGTTATCAAAATTTGAATGCAGTTAAAAACACAAATTTACAATAAATTATTAAATTTAAGATGCATCATTTAAAAAAATATTTTATATTTTTTTGAAATGATGCAAATTTTTTTTAAATTAAAGGGTTAAAGAAAGTAGATTTCTGGGAGGGTCTCTGAGTAATTTTATTTTGAAAAGTAGGTGATAGGCCAAGTAAGTCTGGGAACCTCTGGTCTAGGCAGTCCATGCCTAACCCAGCATCCAGGCAGCATGGTCCTGAACCTCAACAGTAGAGAGGGTCAGATAATTCCTGCAGAAGGTGGTGCCTGTCTTAGCCACCAAACTCAGGATCAAGCAAGGTCAATCCACACACCAGCCAGGAGTATGAAGATAGAGTTTAATATAAGCATAAGCCCTCAATCTGAAAACTGAGGTTTCCAGTATGAGTAAACAGGAAGTATGAATGTATGTGTAAACTGAAGATGCCCAGACACAGTGAAAAAATACCTTCAACTGAGAGAAGCTTGAAAGAGCAAGCCCAGAAGAGAGTAATAACTCCACAACAAGTCTAGTAGAGGCCTCAAGGAAAAAAATGTCCTGGCCACAAGGACTAGAAGAATATCTAGAAGAAACAAAGTAAGATGAATAACTAAAAAGTAAAGAATGGAAAGGTGAATTAGTACCTTAGAACAAACAATGATAAACCTTACCTAAAAATTAAACTCTCTGAAAATTAGAATAGGTTACACAGAAAACAATGATTCTGTGAGAACCCCAAACATATTAAAATTAAAAGATTTAAAAACAGAAAAAAACTAAGGTATAAATTTGCAAAAACAACTTACCTGGAAAACAGGTCAAGGGAAAGATAAGCTGAGAATTATCAGGCTACCTGAAAATCATGACCCAGAAAAAGGTTGACTATCATATTCCAAGAAATTATAAATAAAAATTGCCCATTTCTCTTAGAACCAGAAGGCAACGTGAAAATAAAAAGAATCCACCAGTCACTCCCTGAAAGACATACCAAAATGAAATTCTCATGAATATCATAGCCAAAATCAAAAGCTTACGAGTCAAATTAAAAGTATTTCAAGCATGCAGAAAGAAAGTGTTCAGGTAGTGAGAGCCACAATTAGAATTACACAAAACTTTCCAGCTGTAAGTCTAAAGGAAAGTTGGGTTTGGAATACAATATGCCAAAATATGAAGATTTACAACAAAAAAAATACTGAGTATAATCCTATGGGGGGAGTGGATTTTTAATAAAATAAAGTATTTTCAAGCATTTCTGATAAAAGGTCGAAACTGAGGAGACATTTTGAATTAAAATCAAGAAACAAGAGAAGCATAGAAAGATACACATATTTGATCAATTGGAAGGGACTATTTGATGATGAATTGTTTATATGCTAATAGAAGTAGCACAAATGTGTCCTCCTTAGAACCCTAATGTCTTCAAGATTCATAGAGAAAGTTAAATAAGACAAGCAGGGGATCTGGACACAATTTTGTTCTGTTTTGTTGGTCTTAGGATAAGAAGAAATTAGGAAGGATAGGAAACTATTCTAGAGAGGAAGGGAGATGTAAGGGGAGGGAACTCAGTCTTTTGTAATAGGGTACATGAGATGAAGAGTATACAAATACTGAAAAAGGAGTGGAAGGTATCTGATGAACAAACATCTGATAAACCTCATTTTCTCCTGAAGCATAAAAGGGAAGGTTGAATACATTCACACACACACACATACACACTCAAAGTGTGCCATAGAAATACATTGAACTCAATAGGGAAATGGGCAGGGACAGGGAGAAGGGATGGGGAACTGAAGAGAGAGAGCAAGGTAGGTAAAGAAATAGTGATAAGCAAAACAAACTTTAACATTGGAGGGAGAAGAATTTAGGAGGATTAAAATGATAGAAAGACTAAAAACTTTGCCATCAGGGCTGAGCAAAGAGAAGAAAAGAGGTGCAATGG